CCAACCAATCTTTACCGATCATTCTTCTATTAGTTTCTAGTCTGTCCCTGTGTCTCCATACCAACAGCAAATCCTTTGATGAATGCTGAGCATTATTATCCTCTTCTTTTAATAGCTATGATTATATAGAACACAAACGTATTGATGCTATACAAAATTCTCAACCTCAAGCAGGAGTTGTCTCATTCTCATTTCAGCATCGGCATTGTTGATAATCTGATACACAGTGCAAGCATTAGTAGCAGCTAATTTATGAATCAAAATAGAAGCTGATTTAGACCGAAGACACTGATAATAATAATGCAATGACAATTGATACAATCCCTAATGGTATAATATGGTGCATCAATTCTTAATTTTGATGGTGACTTACGTTACGTGCATAACAATTTGCTAAAAGAAGAGTTTGGCTGTCTCCAGTAAAAGCATCACATACTTTTGATTTATGAATGACATCAATACATTGTGAATATTGACTGTCTACATAAAACTGATGCACTGAGAGAAATTATAAGAGAACAGCAAGAGAAGAGCTTGACAAACCTTTTTCATATTCAATATCAGATTGTGTTCCTGTTTGAAAATAGTCTCTTTTATCTCCAAGAAAGCTAACGAAATCTATTTTAACAAACACTAGCACTGTGCATGAGACTCTTCAATTACCTGCAGTTCCAGTATTAGTTATCAGTTCCAGTAGCTTTCTTAATAGCAACAACCTTCTCATGTAACAATCTGCACTGTCCTCACTGACTATGTCACAAAATAATGTGATGATATGCTCGTCTAAAAAACTTAAAATACTTTTCATTTGTTTGATGAATTCCATTGATTTATTCACGTGACGTGATTGCCCAGTTTTTAACCACAACCGAATAAAACAAGACAACACATTGCAAGCCACCATCAACGATTGAGTCGTGTGATAGTCACATGACTCTGGTAGACCTAAATTAACATTAAATATAATTATAAATATCATATCATACCAATAATCAGCTGCCACAACATGTAAAACTGTTCAGTAATTCTCTCCAGGGAATCAACTGACTGCTCAAACTAAAACACATACTTGCATGCTAACAGAAATAGAATAATAAATATTACTTTTAGTTCACAAGTGAGTTTATTGTTCATTAAGATCAGGGTATCTCTAAATGGCAGAGTCTGCTGGGAGTTTTTGTCCTTCTCTAGCTCTAAAAATTGTCAAAAAGCAAAAAACATTACTCTTATTATTCTATTATTCAAAATCATTATTATTATTGCTACAGCTACTATAATTAACAAAATGCAATATTGAAACATATAATTACTGGAACTGAGCAATTGGTGACACTGCTTGTAGCTACCAGATAAATAGAGCCTCTCAGCCGCCATCTTGACTATGAATAATTAATTTCAGACAATATATAAACAAATCTTTTAAATAAATAATCAGTTGAATGAAATTGTGTGTAAAGGTTCAGTTGAGCTGATAAGCTCGGGTGCTCTGCTAGTTCCAATTATCCTTTGGATTGATAGTGCATCATATCTTGAATACAGTGCCAAAACTTTATTATCATCCACGCACTCCATTTGATTAACTAGCTCTGAATAAAATTCACAATAATTCGGAAGAGAATAGAAGACAAGATGGTGGATTCCTTTGATATGGTATCTCCGGAAAAAATGAAACCTTTCAGTAACGAGAAGAAACTTCTTGTTACCTTGAGCAAAGAATGATCTTGAGCGAGAAACACTAGAGCTCTTTGTATATCTAATGGTAATGATATTAATAATGATGATGATAATAATGTACATGTATGTCTTTATTGTCTTACTCTGATATATGACAAAAGCTGTACTCTTCTCTCTTCATAAAATTTCTGACTCGCACAAAATCAAAGTAAGATTGAATGAATATACAGACATGATTGATATTGCTAGCCGAAAGCTGAGGAAGTACCTACAGCAAAGAATGATATAATCTACTACCAGTTTTAATATTGTACACACACTGATTGCACATTGCTATCCTAACCGTTTCAATGAAATACTGAAACCTAACGTCAGGGAGCTCTAGATGATTAGTGCATTTCAAATTGTGAAAAACATGAGGGACTCTTTTAAGGATCTGACAGATTGAGCCTTTCCAGGAAGCAGAGTGTACCCTAACTTGCCCTTCGTAATCTATCAATACAGTTAAGGGTATGTTGTTAGCAGTAGAAACATGTGGCAATACTTAATAATATGTAATAGTAACATTAAGAATAATAGTTTAGTAATGTTGTAATAATAGAAATTAGGAGTGGTGCTCTATTTAAGGATACTTCGAGAGTGTGACGTTATTAGTGAATTAATTTCTGGCGTTGGAAATGAGGAGATCATGATGAGCTGAGAGTAATATTGACTCCAACAGTTTAACGACCACTCATGGATACGAGAGAAATCAACACCATGACCATCAAAGGGCAGCAAGTGCAAGTGCTTGAAAACATCCTACGAACAATGAACTTTATAATTTCTACATACTGTACATGTAGCTATTAATATCCGTTAGAAAATAGAATAGATGTACATGTAGCTATTAAATTATCAATATCTCTTAATAGATATAGCTATCAATAAATATCTGTTAATATCTGTTAGAAAATGGAATGGATGTAGCTATCAATATCTGTTAATATGTGTTGGGAAATCAAATAGAAATTTTGGAACTAGCTTTCAAAGACTATTTGTTGGTGTTCTATTTCTACTCACTAAAAGATGGTCCCAGTTTTGCATTAGGAATATGTCGGTTTGATCAACGATGACCATCTCAAGGGAAGAGAGGAAGTCGTAGTCCCTTTGTTTCTCTCCCTCGCTCCCAATGATGGTCCTCAGCCCAAGGGGAGAGGCAATAATGATGTCGCTAGAGTAGAATTGTGTAAAAAGTTTGAGACGATTTTTCTTGACAGATAAACCAATCCTGAAACAATCATCGATATTACCAGAAAACAGCTGATGATAAGAATCTGAAAGAAAAAAGATTCACACCGGAAAAGGACATGATACTGTACCTGGCTTATAATCTGGAGGCTTGCTCTCTTTATCTTCACCATAAAGCTTAAAAAACTTTCTCCTATTAGCCACTTCACCCTGGATCAAAAGCCAATCACACAATACAATATGTGACATGCTCCTGTAGTAGGACACTGTACCTTTCCAGGAGTCACTAGTATGCTAATCATTGATGAGACTATCTTTAATGCAGAGTGTCGGAAAGGAACTAGGATAAGGACCTTTGGACGAGTCAATCCTTGGTCCCTAATGTCACTGTACACATGTACATGTATATTTATAATGATTAGAAAATCATTTTTCTTATTACCCAAGATCACGTCCTTCTTTGGCAGCCATTGCAAGACGGATGTTGTTCTTCAGGACCCGAGAACGGTTCCTAATTAAATGCAATATAGAAACAAAACTCTTTTTATATGTCACACACATCACATATACATTACATGTCAATACAGGGTATTTTCCAAAAATTTGCATATTTTAAAACAGTCAAACTCAAAAAAATTGATGTTGGAATTAGCTCAAACTTTTTCCATAGCATAAGGACATCAATATGTATCAGAAAATTTAATAAAAATTGGGGGTGATTTCGGAGCCATTTTTTGGGAAAAAACCATGGGCTATAATAGTACAGGGTATTTTTCAGAAACTGGCCTGTTTTTTTAAAAGGGTCATAACTCGAAAAATTTGAGTCGGAATCAGTTCAAACTTTCTACATAGCATAAGTACATCAATATGTATCAGAAAATGTAATAAAAATTGGGAGTGATTTCGGAGCCATTTTTTAGAAAAAACCATGGGCTATAGTACAGGGTATTTTTCAGAAACTGGCCTGTTTTTTAAAAGGGTCATAACTTGAAAAATTAAAGTCGGAATCAGTTCAAACTTTCTACATAGCATAAGTACATCAATATGTATCAGAAAATGTAATAAAAATTGGGAGAGATTTTGGAGCCATTTTTTAGAAAAAACCATAGGCTATAGTACAGGGTATTTTTCAGAATCAGCTCAAACTTTCTACATAGTATAAGTACATCAATATGTATCAGAAAATGTAATAAAAATTGGGGGTGATTTCGGAGCCATTTTTTGGAAAAACCATGGGCTATAGTACAGGGTATTTTTCAGAAACTGGCCTGTTTTTTAAAAGGGTCATAACTCGAAAAATTAAAGTCGGAATCAGTTCAAACTTTCTACATAGCATAAGTACATCAATATGTATCAGAAAATGTAATAAAAATTGGGAGTGATTTTGGAGCCATTTTTTAGAAAAAACCATGGGCTATAGTACAGGGTATTTTTCAGAAACTGGCCTGTTTTTTAAAAGGGTCATAACTCAAAAAATTAAAGTCGGAATCAGTTCAAACTTTCTACACAGCATAAGGACATCAATATGTATCAGAAAATGTAATAAAAATGGTGGGTGATTTCGGAGCCAATTTTTTGGAAAAACCATGGGCTATAGTTGTACTATATTACAACTATTATAGCCTATATATATATATATATAGTTATGTTACTTTATGACATGGTTCAAAGAATGAAGAACATATAATCGTCTGATCTCAGATTCATTCTCAAATGTTTGACCAGTATACATCAGATCCTATGAATTGAATGATACCATTAATAACACAAAACATATCCTAACACACATCACATTGTCTACCTTATAAGCATTCATCACTTGAAACAAATTATCCTGCAGATCTGTGAACGGTCCTATTAATAAATAAGTATTATCTCAAATTTAAACTGTGTCTTTCTAAAATTACGTCTAATAAATATTACAAAAAAGCTTTGACATACTTTTGACACTTGTTTTATTAACAGTTGGCCATAATGTCACCAAAGGCTCCCTAACCTAACATAAATATATAATAATGTATTGTAAATTAGAAGGCTAATAGCAATCAACATAATACTAACATGAAGATCCTTTAGTTGAACTTGACTGGAATCATCTCTCCATATAGTGTCCTTGTTATTAGAAGGTGTTCTCAACCATTGAATGAGACCAATGTCTTTGTACTGGAGTACATATAACATGCCAATAATAAAAACTAATATTACATAGTATACTCTATCTACATGTACCTCTTTATTCAATGTCAGTGCTTTTGAAAATAAATCTTTTAAGTTGTCTACATCAGATTCAGTTAATAGCCTCTCGTAATGAATAGAGAAGAAGTGATCCTGATCATCTTTGAGATGAGAAGCAGATAAATCATCATCATCATCGTCGTCGTCATCGTCGTTGCTTTTATAATTATTCTATTTATGCATGTATTGCATAGAAAATTTTATGAATTGGGCTAACTTCATCACAAGTGCTCAATTCTACATAAGTTTCGGTAGGAGGAATAGAATTCATGGAACTCTCAATGCTTTCTTCATCCTTCTAGGAGATATCACATGTGACAACACGAGGTCTGGCAGCTAGACTTACCTCTAAATTGTGAGGGAAAGTTTCTTCTACTTTTTGGCGGCAGGAACGCTTCTTTGAAGCTGTTGTTCTCTTTCTCTATATAAAAAATAAAGAATAATTACTAAAAACGGAAGTCACCTTTCTGGTGTTGGCCGCCATTTTAGACGCACTTTTTAAAAGGCGTGGTTAAACAGCCCATGTGGAAGCACGTGGTTTGGCCAGTGGCCAGAAAGCTGACTGATTGTTGGCTGAGAATTTCTCTGTAGTGTAGTAGGTGTCTTGGTGATGGCCTCACCTCCAACACACTGGTGGACTGATAGCACACTTGCACCTCACAATATGAATAGACAAAATCAAGAGCTCACAACAAAATGAAAGTGTTGACATAATATAGATTCTAATAGCATCTTAAAAAATCAATCTCAATCCTACATAGAGGGTATTGCCTGTATAATATAAACATTATACGTGGGTGAAAATAATCGTCTGGGGGTGTGGATCAGTAAAAAAATTGAATTTGACTTTAAGATAAAATCAGTCAATGAATTTAATGAACTGAGTCACACATTCGTGTCCAGTGATTATCATCATTAGCCTTATTCGATGAATCTTCTTGCTCATGCCTAGTTCTTCTTCAAGTATTTCATTGTTCAGTTCAAAGAGTAGCGCACCATCAATCTGCTCCTCTTTAAACTTAGGTATGTATTCCTCCATTCCCATCATTTCTAGCAGTGTTGATATCTGCAAGGAAATACATAAACTAAATGAGCTATAAGGCATAAAATTATTTTAAAATGTATCATTTCTTATAAAATTCATGCTAAATTATCCTGCTTACTTGATTACAATCATATTCCAACAGTAAACTTTTGTTAACTTCAAGAAATAATGGTTTATTTTCTATAATTATAAAGTAATAATATTTACAACTGTTGTTTGTGCATTACCATAAAATGATTCGTTGGCATCTTCAAGATTTAATGGGGTGCTTTCTCCTACAGTGGCTGACGCTACTGATAAATTTAAGGACTCAATATCAAGTGATGTTCCTTCGACTATTAAAGAAAATAAAGATACTTTGTTCTCATATTAACACAAATTCTTACTTGAAATCTCATTTGGATCAGGTAGCATCGCCAACTCTTTATCAAAGGTCGAATTACTGTCAGCTTTCTTCTGAATCTTAGTCGGATCAAACATTTCAGTATAATCGTCATCATCATCATCATCATCATCAGTAGGAGATGAATAAACAGGAACTACATCATCATATTCACAAGATGACAGGGACCTTCTAGATGCATCATTTGATTTGCTATCACTGGATGAACACGACTCAACAGTCGAGTGTCTCCTTCGAGGAGGTAATGGAGGAGGAGGAGGAGGGAGATGATCTACGATAGTTGCTCTTACAAATTTAGGTAGTAAGACCCGAGTGTTTGTGCTTATTCTATCACTAGGGATCACAATCGGCTCATAAACTGTTTTATCCTCAATGCCAACAATCTCGTGTATCCATTCACTATTGTTAACCGGTAGAAATAGATTCTTTTGCAACTGGTCTTTAGTACCAAGTGTGTACATCAGGTCTACATTCTCCGGCGCAATTGACTGCAATATTGATAATCTTTTTTGATTGAGTTGTGACTTTGTCTCTTGGGTAATGCTGACAATATTGAATTCCATAGGGAGGGATGTAAATAGCTCAATTAGTTGATGAGTACAATCTGAAGAAACTGATGAGGTTGGTGAAGGCAATGGTGAGACAGGGGATACTATGAAAGAGTGTAAAGTTGTTGGTTTAGCACTGACGATACAGCCTGATTTATATTTGAATTGCCATTCGGGAGCTCTACCTTCGCAATCATACATTGATGTACTAATCGGTGGCTTGAAATATTTCAAGAGTGCTGACATTGAGAAGAGCAGCAAAGACTCACGAGTGCTAAATTGTCCCTCGCAACTTTCCTTTAAATAGATCTCCTTGGTGTCGCCCACTTTCATGCACTTGAGTCGTTTTACTTTCATAAAATGATGCTTCTCCGTAACTACTTCCTTAAGTAAGAGAAGAGTGCCTTTCTTAACAGTGTCCCCATTATGACTGAATCTCTGGCCAACATAAACTACACTGGGTAGAGGGCGGGTCTTCATGAGATCAGCAACAGTGCTAAAGCAATAGCCTCTTCTGGCTGTGCTTAAATCATGATCCCGTCTCGGATTATACAGTACACTAAATTTAAAGGTACTGTTGACTGGCACTACGTAGCTACAAACCCCAAGTGCAATTTTCACGTTGAGAGCTGACGCCTCCCTTTTAAAATAAACTTCATATTGCTTCCCTTTTTGTAGCTCTGTGTTTCCACTCGTTGATATCACTAAAGGGAGGTCATTGCCGTGCTTCTGAGCTAGTTCCTGAAGCAGCAGAGGATCTGATAGTGATTCCATCGCCTTGGAATTGGAAAAATCTCGTGCTTATTAAAATTATTGCTGCATAAAATGGGGGTGGGGCTGGTTTACATTATAATTGTCACGTACTCTATTATCTATGTT